AAACTGCAGTAGGCCCTATTTTACCTGCTCTGGAACGCATGCGAACGCACTGAAAGCCCGTTTTAAACTTTAAAAAATATTATTATTTTTTTACCAAAAACGGCCTGGAACGCATCAAAAACGCAGCACAACCCAATGCACTGCGTGTGCAGACACTCATGCAGATCTGCATGGGGGGGGGGGGGGGTGTTAGTGGCTGCGCTGCCATGCCCTCTCCCACCCCAGAACGAAGGAATTTTGTGAGCGATTGCTGTGCATTCCAGCAGCTAACGCTCTGGAACGCACCGCAATTGGCATGAATGAGCCCTTATTGGTATGCATGGGCCCCTCTGTTTTGTTTCCAAAATAATACATGTTAGAATCTTAATGTTTATAAACGTGAAGCTCTACTAGCTAAATCTTTTTAATAATACAATCGATAAGGACCTCCATCAGGTTTTTCGCACTGTCCTTTGGTGAGATCTTTCCTCTTCCTGTTTGGTCACAAGGACAGGATGTTAGAGGAAATCTCAACAGGGGCAAAAAAAGAATGTCAAGTTATAACCGCTGCCCACTCTATTCAGAATTTAAGAAATACATTTTGGTTGGAGTTGGGCAATAAACTGTTGTCCTTTTAATCTTTGTCATGAGAGAAGTATGGTAACTGCCTTTAGGCCTCATGCACACAGGACATGTCTCTTACAGCATGAAGAGCTATTTTTTGATGTGCCCGGAGCTGCGGGAAGAAGCATGCACGCAGCTCATGTAAGTCTGTGGTGATGCAGGAGCTGTGAGCACTCTCACTGCTGAGTTTTGACAGCCGTACACAGATGGTGTATGACCTCGGACGCATACCTGATGGATCCACGTCCGTGCACAGTGTTTGTGTGCGCGCGGCTGTCAGAACTCAGAGCTGCGGTAAGGAGTGTGTGAGGGCATAGAGCTCCTTCATCTCCATAGACTTGCATCAGTGGCCCTTCACACAGTATGGGGCAACATCACCCATGTGAGTGAGACCTTACTGACTGCCTTTTGAAAACTCTAGTTATCTGGCTGTCATGCTAACCACTGGCTTTAAGTAGCTCGGAACATATGTGCCTATCAGGAAAATCAGAGACAAGACATAGTCCATATCTGCATACTTGCTTTAGTATTTTGAAGAAGAGCTTTGGGCATATTAAACATTAACCTTAGAGCTGCAGCTAACGATTATTTTCAAAATCGATTATGCCGATCTTGGATGTGGGCGGGCGGTGAGGCGGGAAGGAGGTGCAGCGTGTAGAGCGTGGATGCCGGCGGGCGGGCGGATCTGGCAGCGGTGAGCGTGAGTTGGGGTGGAGGTGCGGCGCGCAGCGTGTGAAAAAATGTGAACAGGGCCAACTGATCGGAAGCCGATTAATCGATTATTGAAAAAGTTGACAACTTTTTCAATCGATTATAATCGATTATGTCGATTAGTTGTTGCAGCCCTAATTAACCTTTGCAGTGTGAGCACCCCTGCACTGCAAGGGTTAAGTGCTCATTTTGGTCTAGGATTTAAAATAAAGAAGATATATTGGCCTGATCCTCACTCTCCTCTCTTCTCCACTGCGGCTATGGAAAGCCCCTCAGTGTCCTCACATCCAGCGCAAGTGAATGGACCTGATGACGTCACGGGTCCTTGGACCTGGAAGGGAAGAGGCTGCAGGGACCAGTCTAGCACCCAGGCGGGACCGAGATTCGGGTGAGTATATCTTTTTCTCTAGTCACCTTCCAGGACAGCAGGGATTCTCTAATGCTGTCCTGGAATGTTCCTAGAAACAGAGTTACCAGGTACGTAACTCCAATTTTTTTTTTAGTTTAAACCGTAGACCAAAACAAACATCTAGCATTTAACGGAAATATTTAAGCAAGAGGGTCTGCATGACAGCCAGGCAACATGCATTTTAAGAAAGAGAGATTTCAAAAAACAGCAGCTATATTTCTTAGGTGACAAGTTTCCTTAAGTATCACAAGTACCCCCTGAAGTTACCACTTAGCCCCTGGAATGGAGGAACTGTGCTGTGGAAACTATAGGACATGAGGATCCTGGGAACTCATCAGTTTGTAAGATGTTGCAGCCACCATGCCGAGCACCAAGAGTGGCAAACTGTTCTCTTCCATATTCTTGGGTACAAATGAGCCTCTTGACCATGGCTGCATGATCATGAAGTGTGGCGCAGCCACTCCATGTTACAGAGCGGTTGCTGTGTAATTATGTGTATATTATTCGAGCTCCATGTGCTTCTTGTCACCGAGACACAAACCTCTCAGCTGTCATTCCCCTTAAATGAACAATAAGATAAATACACGGCTCTTCTTGACATTACAATAACAGTACTTTCCTTTTAGTTTGATGCATGTTTCTGGGGATCATCCTAGCATAAAGTACACACATGGCCAATCATTTCCAAGTTTGGTCTCTGGAAGCCATCCAGTAAAGGAAAGCATTCTTCAGACATTGGAAGTGTTGGTGTGGTTGCTGTGCAAGTGATTCAGGATAGCTAGGTTTATTGTGGACTAAGGATTTGCTAAGCAAGAGGAGTGAAAAGAATAGTTAGGCAGAAGGTCAATGTTTGGTGGTATGGTTACTTTAATAAATCAGCTATGTTAATGAAGGGGTTAAGTCAGTGGTTCTCAACCTGTGTAACCTCAGGACCCACATTTGTCCCGGGCCAATAAGTCGTGACCCAAGTTGCACTGCAATGGAACACACGTCATTGAGGTACAGATCCACCCAGTCTCCCTGGAGTGGATTTGTACCTCAACTGGAGTGGATCCTCAGCCTGGGGTCCAGTGTGGGCTGCTGGTGCTGTAGCGCCATCCATATCTGCATTGCTTGTACAGATCCCTTGCGTGCCCTGTAGAGGTGCCGGGAGCCAGAATAGGACATCACTCCAGTCCGGCCACCTCTGCAAGGCACGCGAGGGAGCTGCAAGCAATGCACATATGGATGAAGCTCTCTCGTGGCCCCACCCCACCTCAATCTGAAACTCAGCAGTGGGCAGCATATTTTGAATGGCTGCTTGGCCCGAGAACTGACAGTGCTGCTCTGGGGGGCATATGGATGGCATGTGGTGACCCACTGAACGAGGGGTTGAGAACCAAGGGGTTAAGTGATCATCTTTTCTCTTGAAATGTCAACAGAATAAAAATGTGGTTGTGTGATACAACTACAGCAGTGGTTCTCAACCTGTGTAACCTCAGGGCCCACATTTCTCCTTGGTCATTAAGTCAGTTGCACTGCTCTGGAACACACGGCATTTCGGTACTGGTGCCGGTGATTGAACTGTGGGCGGGAGGTTAGTTTGGGGTGCCATCCAAATGAATAGCAACGCACCGGAACATGCGGTAGATGCTATCGTGTGGTACAGTGTGTTAATTGCATGGGACTGTGCAATGAATGCACTGTACTCATGTGAATGGGCCCTCAAAAATACTGACAGACACATACAACCAGAAGCATAATCTCACAAGCACACATATATTTTCACACACACCAAAAAAAAATGATTTTATTTTTTTTCTAGATCTACCTTATGAGAGCTGAAGTGGATCCTCAGCCTGGTGTCCAGTGTGGGCTGCTGTGCTGTGATGAAGCTCCATCCATATGTGCATTGCTTGTACAGCTCCCTTGCGCGCCCTGTAGAGGTGTCGGGAGCCAGAATGTGACGTCACTCTGGTCCAAGCACCTCTACAGGCCACACTAGATCTGTAAGCAATGCACATATGGATGGAGCTCCCTCGCAGCCAAGGCCCCAGCCCACCCCACCAGAAGCTGACACCCGGCGGCATATTTTGAATGGCTGCTCAGCACAAGAACGGACAGTGCTGCACTAGGGGGAGGCTGAGGAGCCTCTCGCCTAGCACAGTGGAAGGCACACGGCGACCCACTGCACACGGTTTTGCGACCCACCGGTTGTGAACCAGGGAACTACAGCGTATAGTTTAATTTGAAACAAACGGCATTGACTGAACTGTGAGGGATGCTGCTGCTGACCTCTTTGTGAAATTCCTTTCTGTTTTCGACTTGTGCGTTAAGGTGAAGCCACTTACTTGCTCAAAGTCCTATAATTTTGAAGCTATGAGGTCTGTGTGACTGCTAAGCAACTAGCATTTTGAGCATAATTTCCTCAGCACAAGTTTCCTTTATTTAGACCTACACAAAAGGCATTTGATTGTTGAATTGTTCAAGCTAATTGGTCATACATTTCTAAAATCCCTCTTCACATGTGATGATCTAGTTTTCAGAGCTTGTTGACATCTTTAGAACTTTGCTGTATTATCCTTGTTGAAGAAGCAGTGATTTGTATCGAATGTAACACCTTGGCCGTTCACGCCGGATAGCGGTGGCAGATTACTACGGGCTTGTGACTCAGTCAATGAGATGGTTACACTGACGTTGCTGTTCCGTGATACAATCTCCATTCATGTATGGCTAGCTTTTCGAGGATCTTTTTTAGTACCTTCTCTCATGTCTGACCTTTCCAGCTCGAATCAAGTCCGTCATCCTCCTATACGAAGGAGCACAGTTGGATGCAGAACTGAAATGCGGGCTTTTACTTGTGCTCTTTTTAGGATTGTTCCCTAATCTGATCCAGGTGGCGATTGCATAGCATTGGTTTAGGAACGAAGTGGAACGTTGTTGCACCATGGCCCCAAGTCATTTCTGCATAGTTTAGTTGGCATATAGCTAGAAATCCTTACATGCCAGCATTGCCATGTGTTTACATTGTATTTTACTCCTCCTGAACAGTTAATTGGCTTGCTTATGAGAGGTTTGATTTCACTGTTGTGTGTGCTGTGTCTATATTAAAATACACAGAAGATTGGCATCATTATCATCCTGCCATTGAGCACTTTAGTTCTCTTTCTGGTAGATGTAACTTGCGATCGTATGCACCTACGTTCCTGTTGCTTGATTGATTGTAATAATGTTACTTTCTTTTTTTCTACAGAATTTGTGAAGGATTATCTGTTGTAGATTTTGTGTACATTTGAACTGCAAAGCTGAGGAAAATGGCTACTGACTCCGGAGAACCTACTACTGATGAATCTGATAAACCAGCTGGATTTTCTGCAGAGAAGAACTTGGCCCCTCAGGACTCTTCCTTGGCCAGGCAGGCAAGCATAGAGAGCACCGACAAGCCCAGCTCTGCTTCAGGCACTAATGAAAGAAAAAGATTCTTTAGGAAGAGCGTGGACATTACTGAGGATGATAGAATTTTGGAGCAACCCCTCAAAGAGGAGGCGGTCCCTTCCTGTGTGGTCCAGCAGCAATTGGATGGCAATGTATCGATTGCTACAGACTTGGTGCAAGAAGGCAAGAGCGAATCCAAAATGGTCTCCGAGGCCAGTAAGGACACCCCCCGAGAAAAGACCGAAAAGGAGATGGAAGAGGAGGCAGAGATGAAAGCTGTGGCAACATCACCCAGCGGACGGTTTTTGAAATTTGACATCGAGTTGGGCCGAGGGGCCTTCAAAACTGTTTTCAAGGGACTGGACACGGAGACTTGGGTCGAAGTCGCTTGGTGCGAGCTGCAGGTTAGTCCAGTTTTGTTGAATTCACAGTTTACAGATGGCTTTTGTAGAGATTTTATGCCGCACAGCTTGATAAATCCTGTGTTTGCTTTTCAACTTCCTGGAACGTCATAGGTTATGACTGCGCCTTTCATTTCACTTCAGAGGTGATAGTGAGGTACATGTGACCATTTATTAGAAATTAGCCAACATGGTGAAAAAAAATATAGTGAGGTCAAATGTATATTTTATTTTATTTTTTACCAATGGTTTTTGAAGCAAAATAGAATGAATTTAGCCCTTTCATGAGCAGAGGTTATAGAAGCTTCGATGCCCAAACCAGGTGTCCGTATGCTTTTAACTTGATGAATGCCCTGCTCGGGATTTTTTAAGGCTTAGTTTTATTTTTTTTTAAAAGACTTTATTTATGACTGCCATTTTAGAAGTACTTGAAGACAGAGAGGGGAATTTATCCAATTAGCTTCTCTTTCATTTTCAAATCTTAAAGAAGAACTATGGGGTAAGTGTTTTTCCCGATAGTTCTCCTCAAGGTCGCGGGAGGACATAAACTAGCGTCCTCCCGTCACCCAAAGCTCAGTATATCGCGAGCTACCGGTCGCTGTATACTGAGACTGCTGCAGCCGTGACGGATGTCGACATTACTGTCGAGATCCACCCAGCTGCGTGAGTGACAGCTGGCTCTGCCTATCTAGAGGCAGAGCCAGCTGTGCCCGCCCCCCTCCCCTGTTCGTTCCTCCAGTCAGCACTGGAGGAGCGGGGGGAATCCCTGCAGGGAGCCGTGAGTGACGGTCACAGCTCTCTGCAGGGACAGGATCGAGAAGTGAGCGAACGCCGGTATGTGTTCGCTCACTTCCCGATCTATTGAGCCGACGTGTGACAGTTTCATTGTCGCACGTCAGCTCGAACTATGAGGATGAGTGAAAATCGCTCACCTCATAGTTCTCCTTTAACTGAACAAACTGAAGAGAGAATCTGATAGGTTGCCATAGGCAACGGCTCCAGATTTGTCTGCTCCAGTTTTGATAAATTCCCTTCAGTGAGTATGACGGAAACAATTTACAATGCCAGGTATGCAGAATCGGTTGTGCAGAGATCAAGGGTACAATAAGAGGAGCATTGATAACATCACAAAAGACAGTCAACAACATATCACTTTATAAACAACAATGGGAGCACATGCATCCAAGTTTTTTTATTTTTTTTAATAATGTAAGTATCTTACAATTACAGCATTGAACAGAAACCTACTTCTATCTACAGACAGAAGTGGCATCTGCAGGCTGGAGAGGTTTTTGTGACAACCTCCGGCTTGCATTGGATAGACAAGATTGTTTTTTTGATCATAATTAAAAACCTTTGTCTTAACAGATTCTAGCTATGTATAACGTGACATCAGATGTAGGTTGATGTCTTGCCAGCGTCTGAGTACCCATGCCTGGGTATGCTTTATTGTATTTATTAATAGTTTCACTGCCATGTGTCTGAATGGACTTCCAAATAATTAGGGGCACAGCAGAAGACGATGCAGGGCGGTAGATAATTTTTTCCCCAGGAAGAGGGGCTCTTTTAGGCTGTAACTAAACGCATGTATTGACTTTTTGCTTCTAGCTTATTTGTGGCCTTCAGAGCTTGCACAAATGTGCTGCAGAACTCTGAATTTCATTGCTTCTGGCAGATATTGGATGAAATCGTTCCGCAGAGCACTCCTTGTCTGCAGTTACAGATGCAGACAAGCTGAATGTAAACAGAGTAACGTTTACACTTCCCGATGCCTGTGGTAACAGCTTTCAGAGCGCAGGTTATACATGCAAAGCCATTTTGTGTGCCTGAATACATTACAAGTTCTGTGATCTTACAGTAGCCCTTTATACCCAGAAAAGTTTTATTGAGTTTTCATACAATACAGAAAAAGAAAACAATCAGACAAACATTTGCCTGATCTAACCCGTTACATCTACTCATTGGTCAGACAAGATGTGTAACAGTTGCATAATTGGGCAAAACATACAAAAATAAAACAAAGTAAAGAAAATAACAGTATTGTTAATTGTAATCTCTGCCTATATCATCGCCCAAGACCAAATCAAGGGCAGCAAACCAAGGGATACCCACTCGCGTCATAAGCTGAAAGCAGGGTGTGGTTGTGCCCAGCACTATATAGCCTAGAGGTAAGGTATAGGCACTAGCCCAGATACAGTAGCCCTTTAAAGGGTAACTATGGGGTTAAGTCTTTTCCCCATAGTTCTCCTTAGGGTAACGGGAGGACACAAACTAGCGTCCTCCCGTCACCCTAGGCTCAGTATACCGCGAGCTGTAGCTCGCCTTATACTGGGACGCCGCAGTATACCGCGAGCTGCTGCTTGCGGTATACTGAGACGCCGCAGCTGAAGCGGATACCGACAATTAGGCCGGGATCTGCCCAGCTGCGTGAGTGACAGCTGGCTCTGCCTATCTAGAGGCAGAGCCAGCTGTACCTGCCCCCTCCCCCGTCCGTTCCGCCAGTCGGCTCTGGCGGATCGGGGAGGGGAAATCCAGCCCCTCCCCTGTCACGGCAGAGAGCCGTGAGAGGATCGAGAGGTGAGCGAATGCCGGTATGTGTTCGCTCACCTCCCGATCTACTGAGCGGACCTGTGACAGACTCATTGTCACAGGTCGGCTAGAACTATGAGGTGAGTGAAAAGCACTCACCTCATAGTTCTCCTTTTTTAAAGGAAACCTTTTCTGAGAGAAATATACAGCCGGCCATTGCTGACCTTTCCAGAAAATGCTAAGTGCCTCGGTGCCATGCTTGGTCAGAGGATTTGTTCGTGCCTAATCATTTGGAAGTTTGCAACAACAAGAGTTGTTCCTTTTACTGGCTGCATGCTTTTCTCAGGAGGGTGACTGGGCGCTGAATCCAGAGACAGCAAAGTAAAACTCTGGGAGGTCCGCAGTGGCAGCCTGCGTATTTGTCAGTGCTAGCTTCCTATCACCTTTTTACTATCAACGAATCTGAAAAGTATCTAAAAAATGTGGTGATCCCTTCATGTGGTGTGTCCTGACTGAAATATGACACTTCCTGTGCTGACGGCCCCTCTGTTACCACATTAAACCTTCAGCTTCCTGCTGGAAGTTGAGGCCTAAAAGAGGAATGGGATGGGATTACTGGCTCCATGTAAAGTCAAGTCCTGGCTGTCTACTCGTGTTACTATATAGTGAAAGCAATTTCAATAATTGGGTTAGGTTCCAGAAGGTTAGACGTGCGCTTTTTAAAGGAATTTAAAGTGGTATTTAGCTCTCAAACTTTATTCAATAATGATTACAAATCAAACAAATATACATTGCCCAGTAAAGCGTTTCTGACATTTTTGCCCAAGCACTTAGTCATCTTGTTTCTGAGCAGATCCAACACTCTCTGCTCCCCTTCCCTGAACTTCCTGTGTAGTACAAGATCACAAGGGAGAGCAGTCTCTAGCAGCCGTCCATCTTCTTGGAGAAAGGGCAAAGGGAGCAGTGGGGAGCTTACCTTACTTGCCTTGAGGTGCCTGTGTGTTTCTGGAGACAAACACAGCTTACTAGCATGCACAAAGGTGGCTCCATAGGACCCTGCAAGGTAAAGCGCTGCGCAAACTGTTGGCACTGTATAAATCCTGTATAATAATAAAGCAACCACTCTAACATGGGATATCAAGGCCAGTGATTCTGCATTTTTGCACCAGCCATGACGCCCACATTGTGGCGTGAACGGGGCACATAGCAAACAATTGTTTTTCTATGTGCCCTAGCGGTGAGCTGCCATTTTCCTCTGCAGAAAAACGCAGGTCGCCACTTACTGCCACTCGATCACTTCTACAAATGCCTGCGTTGACGTGGTGTCAGAGGAAGCATTGACACTCTAATAGACCAAAATATCCGAACAGAGCCTGTCAGAATACCCAAATAGCCAGCAGCTCATTAGCTGCCATCTCTGTTCGTTCAAAGGTTTTCCGACTGGCTCGCTCGATCAGCTGATTGAGGGATACAGGCCGACAGCGGCACCCAGTGTGCGAATTTCATCAAGAACCAGCCCAAATTCTCCCAGTTTAAGGCCACCTTAGGACAGGCACATGTACTACGTACCTTTTTTGGTGGATGTAAAGGAGATAATACAGTTAGATTGTACTATGTGAGAAAATACAAATAGTAAGAGATATGCATTTGCACTGTATAGGCGTAATGCCCGCTATTCTTTTCTTTCTTTGCATCGGGATATTGTGATCCTTCTGGGCATCATAGATCTGCAGAAAGTTTAGAAACGGATGTAGACCTTTATTGCAGATACCATTCCTACTTCAAATACGTCCTGTTTGTGAAGGAAATGGTCCTTAGCACATTACTGCACACACAGGCTTCTGTAGTTGGTGGGCAGCTGCTGCAACCAGTCATGTTCTGTGAATTGTGAAACAGGAATTTCCATCTGCTGACCGTGTTGCAACTCTTTTTTTTTTTTTTTAGTCCTCCATTTGTTACTTGGAGTCATATGGATCAATCTTTTACTCTCATTTCAACAGCTTGTTTGCATACTTATCGGTGAAGCTTTAAAGTAGATGCAAGCCCTAATTGAATGATATTTAGGGTGTAACTAGGGCTGCAACAACTAATCGATTAATAATCAATTATGAGAATAGTTGGCAACTATTCTCAGTCGATGAGAGAGAGAGAGTTTTCTTTTAAGACAACCAATAGATTAGTTGAGAAAATAATCGGGCAACTAATCGATTATGAAAATAATTGTTAGCTGCAGCCCTAGGTGTAACGTGAAATGACATGGCAAGATCGCAACCCCCAATGACCATACTTGTAGTCCATTGACACTGCCTCCCGTCCATGCTACTATATGTCTGTACCTCAGTATGGATAGGAGGAAGAGTCTGCAGGAGCCAGAGCATTGCACCCGTCATCCACTGATCTTGGTTGTAATGCTTTACTGGCTTCAATGCGAAACACTAATGGATGCATGTTTTTTCTGTTATGGGGAAGTGTGT